GCTTCATTCTGAGGTGACCAGGCTGTCATAAAATTGATTGTGGTGGTGGTTGTACATCTCCGAGAAAATATTTTTAAAAATTGAAAAAAACACTTGAAATGGGTAGATTTCACTTGATGTGAATTATCTCTCAGTAAATTTCTATTAAGAATAAAGAAAGAAGTTCTTGTATCCTGGATGAGACACTTATGTTTGCCATATAAGTAGTGGTTGTCAACTGGGGGGTATGATTGCCCCATGGGGATCCTTGGGAATATCAGGAGAGAGAGAGAGAGAGAGAGAGAGTGAGAGTGTGTGTGTGTGTGTGTGTGTGTGTGTGTGCACCTGCATCTGTGTTTGGAAAATAATTTTCATTCAGAAATATTTATTTTATGTGTGAGTTAATTTTTTTTTTCTTTGAAGCAAAAGAGCAATGGCTCTGGTGGCAGTGTAGCAGATGAGAGGGTGGATTATGTTGTGGTTGACCAGCAGAAAACCCTGGCGCTAAAGAACACCCGGGAAGCCTGGACGGATGGGAGGCAGTCCACGGAATCTGAAACACCCACCAAGGGCATGAAATGAAAGCGCTCCCTTCGAGCTTTTGCACCATGGAGAACTGAGCTGCCAAGCGACATCCTGAGGGAAAACGCTCGTGGCAGCAGTGTGTGACTGCAGACGGCTGCCCCTTCCATCCTAGGAGGTCCTCACGGGAGCAGAGTTGAAGTCAAAAGACGCTCACACCCTGAATGGTGCTTTGTGGTATCTGAGAAATCAAAAACCTGTAAATAATGTGGGGAAAGAGTATTGATTAGCTCCCAGACCAACACTTGTTCCACAGTTAACACACTTGTAGTATTACTGTATTTTTGCACTTTTTCATTTAAAATATTGGTTTGGGTTTTCCCAAATGTACCTTAGCATGTAATTCCATTGGGAGTTCTTGTTTTCCCTCACACTACTCTCTATAACAATACTAAGTTAATTAAGCTACTTAGAGTTGGAAGTTGCTGTTGAAACTACAGCTTAACCACATCAAAATGAGAAATAGATGCACAATTTAACTTTCTACCTGAACCCTCAGGTGGTAACCCTTAGCTGAAAATCCAGAGAGGATAGTCGGATTCGTCACTCATGGCCTTCTAATGTGCTGAGGAATAATGCTTGTGCAGTTTCAGGACCTAGCTCTCTGGCTCACGTACAGGTAGTTGTTAGTGGTGGAATTCTATGTTGTTCATTACAGTGCGTAGGGGTCACTGGGTGAAGATTCCGCCGGGTGGGATCTCACACTCCTTACAGACAGACTAATGACATTGTCAAGTAAGCCTGCAGATGACTGGTGACCAGCAGTGAGGATGCACTCTCACACTTGTTCACATGTATTAAACTTTATGTTAGTTACAGAAGGTAGATTATATAACTAACCAGGTACGTGCCAGGCACTAATGTGCTAATACACTGATCAGGTATGGATAATGAGCTTTAGTTGTGCTTTTGGAATATTGGTTTGAGGAGCACGGTGGTTGAGTGCTTAGCTGCTAACTGAAAGGTGAGCAGTTCAAACCCATCGGCTTGCTCCGCAGAGGAAAGACGTGGCCATCTTACGTGTCAAGATTGCAGCCTAGCAGAGCCCTGTGGGGCAGGAGTTCTACTCTGTACTGTAGGGTTAGTGTGAGTCAGAACTGACCCAACAGCACTCCACCACCACATTAATACTGGTCTCCAAGGTGGAATTAACGGAGCAGTTGACATTCACTGTTAGTTACGGCAACATACTGTGATTTATAACTAGGCAGCAATTCAGGCTGATTTCTTTCCTATCTTTTAACACCGTAGTGCCCTTTATATGAACTTTTTTTTTTCACTTATTACCCTTCTTGGCCTTATGTTTAAATCCCTATGCAATTAAAATTTTATATCTGCATTTTTTTAAAAAAAGGATATAAGTATTCCTTGTGTGTAGCTTTTCCAGTAAAAGAATTAAGGATTTTCTACTGTGATTCGTATTCACTGCCCCCATTCAAGAACTGTTGGAACCTTGCAATAATGTGAAATCTTATAATCATGCACCCCTCCCAAACCGGGGCATCTCATAATTCTTTCTCACCTAAAACATGGTCCAGTGACACGGATATCAAGATCACAAATGATAGTGAGGCTCCAATTTAAACGCATCGGCCTCACCTTTGCAATGTAATTTAGAGAGCAGGTAGAGTTATTTGTTTTGTTTTTAAGCTAGGCTATATGCAGTCTCTTTCTCTGTTGGTGTAAGATTTACTAATCGTTTTTGGAGGGGACAGAGCGATGAGAGCACGCACAGCAGAAGGGTGACTCCTTCTGTCCAGACCGCCGACTGTTGCCCAAGGAGAAGCGGGCCCTGAATTCTGTTGCGTGTGGCCATCCAGCTGTGCCTAATCAATGTAATGAGTGTGTTTCTCCAATCCACATGTGAGAAATGTGTATAACCCAGATGGATTGTAGTGTTGATGCTTTTAAATTTCTCCGTTTTAAACAAAAACTAAAGCTCAGAAGTGAATTTTGAGGTTGATTTCTAAATAAATAAAAAGATTGTTTGAGTTTGGTGTGCAAGCTGTTTTGTAATAAAATGACCAAATCAAATCGTCCAAATAATGCCTAAACGATCCACACACACTTGTTTGATCAGTGGAGACACTAAATCGTATTATCTGCCACAAGCACATATTTTGAGACTTAAAACACAACAATAAATATCTGAGTAATTCAGAAATAAAAATTGTGACTTAAAGTTGCCTATGGAGGAGACCAAAGCAATCATGAATAAATTTAGTGTCACTTCTCAACTTTTATTACTTTTTATGAAGAGATGCAGCACTTTAATTTATAGAAATTGGCTCATTATGAAACATAATTCAGGAATTGAAAAGAATCCGTTCTTTTAAAACAACTCATTAAATATTGTATTCATAAATTAAATTGAACGATGAATTCTTACACAGCAGTGTTTTCCAAACGTTTAGCAGTAGAGTCTTACAATGAAATCTTAAGTCTGACCCCAATATGCAAAGCCTGAAAAGCCCATTTACCAGCACTGTGAGTCCACATTTACCATCTTCACTCACGACTTGGAAGACGAAGATTTCTGAATAAGACAGATATGAAATTGGGATGATAAGTGGCAAAACTCAGAATCCTTGCTGTGTTTTCATACTTTCAAGCAAAGTTTGGCACAGATACAAGTTTGTTCAAACAGAACCAGTTTTAAGCACACATCTCAGGACATTTCTTTACATAAAGATAACAGCAGCTGTATACAAGGTGTTAAACAATAACAAATCATCCTGGTAGTGGGTTTTATTGCCATGAGTGTCCAGTACTGGAAAACAGGGGTCTATAAAACACTAACATTCACATTTAACTAACTTTTTAAAAGATACATTTAGAAAAGCAAGTTTTTCATCAAACCTTTTTCATGCCCCCTAACGTAGCTTTAAGAGGCTCCGGAGCGTATCAGCCGGGCATCTGTTGCATGCCCCTGGTTCATCACATGACATTTTTGCCCCTCCCAGATTTGGTGTTTCTGCATCCCTGTCCCCATCTGATGTCCTCTGCTTTCTCTATTTTGAAAAAGACGAAGCTTTTATAAGGTTTAGATACCAAAGCGCAGTTCTTTTAGAAATCAAAATTTAATAAGCTATTTTCACGCACGGGTGTCACAGAAGTAAGCTGGCAAAGATGTTTTTATCTACACTCTCGGTTATTAGCTCACTATCTGTATTTCTATCAATATCAGAAACGCTACTGGGAGCATTTTAAAGAATCCCATAAAGGTACTACGAGTATATATATATATATGTAGATATAAATATGTGTATTTATGTCTATATACATATTAAAACATTGTATTTAATCAGACTGCATTTGATAAATACTGTTACACTTACATAATTAAATCAAAAGTCAGTTTCTTCTGGACTACTTAATTAATGAGAGGGTCCCATTCTTCATAAATGTATTTAAACTGGGAGTTGAATACCAGTGTTTGTTTTTAATTGTGGGATGATGATTGCTTTCCCCTTTAGGGAAAATGAGATTTTTTTTTATATTAAAATGGTAACTATGCCTGTACCCTATACCAGACACATTGCAATTCCTGGGTGTTCCCAAACCCCTTTGGTGCCTGTTTGTTGGGGCCTGTTGGTAGTGTTGGTATTCATACTCTGAATGGTTGTAGAAACAGGCCTCCTCCATTGTGGGGTCATGTTAGTCGGCCTGCCCTCTGCTGTTAGATATGCAATCGGGTCGGTGACAGACTGTGCATTTGACCAAATCAACTGGATACACAGAGACATAAGAGGGAGCTTCAAAAAGTTCACAAAGAAATTCCATTATCGCTTAACTCCATTTTTTCACAAACCCTTGGAAGCCCACACGTATGGCCTATGGTAACAATTATCAATAATGTCTAATGCAGTATATGTAAATATATGTGTATGTACTTTTGAAAGCTGCCAGCTCTGAGATGAAAAGCCATGATATGAATGAATGTTGCTTGTAGACATCATGGACTTGATAAGATGGTGAGAAATCCGTAGCTTGCTTGTTGAGACCCTTGGTTTTTATCTTAAGTGCGTTTAGCTATCCTAAAGTTTGAAATAACTCCATTCGTCTTCTAGCCCATAGAGATGCCGCTTCTGAAGCCCAGTGTAGTTTCTAACCAGAATTGTAACAAACTGATTACTCGTGGTGTAACTGTAGCTTCTACTTGCTTTACATACAATTTTGTGTGAACTCTTCTAAGCTAAATCGTTGATAATTATCCCAAATTTCCACAGCAAAACCTTATGTACAAATTTATTTCTGTCTCTTGCATAAATTCTTTTGTAAAGATCCAGTTGTAGATGTTTTCTGCTACCAAATAAAACTTTTCAAACAAGTTTGGCTTCAAGACTTTAAATAGTCCATATGGATACTATGATTAACTAGTATCAAGAACATATACATTTATATTTTCAATCCTTAAGAGTCTCAAAACCCACTTCTGCCATTAAGTGCACTTCTATAGGATCACATGTTCTTTGCAGTAAAAATCTTGCTAAATCATGACGTAATCATGCTGAAAAGGAGAGTGTTCACATGCATGTGCTCTTATTCCTCTATTTGCCGGGCTACCGCTATGTTGGGGGGGGAATGACATTTCCCATCAGAAAATGGCTTCTGTGTCAAATATGACTTGGGAAATGACCTACTTTATGAACTGGGCTTTTTCATTTCGATGAGAGTTTTAGACCTCTCCTCCCAAACTAAGCTACAATGGAGTCAATAGTGACTCAGAGCCCGATAAGACAAAGTAGAACAGCTCCAAGGGATTGCTGAAACTGTTGTCTTTTTTTTTTTCCTCTCTCTCCCCCTTTCTGGTTGTTTCTTCTTGTTGTTGTTTGGTTTTTAAACATTTTTTATTGGGGCTCTTACATATAACAATCCATACATCAATTATATCAAGCATATTTGTTGCCAACATTATTTTCCAAACATTTACTTTTTTTCCCTTTTTCCCTTACAACTGCCATCACAATCCACACACACACATCAACCGCACAAAGCACAGCTGCACATCCACTGCCCCCATCACCCTCAAAACACCTGCTCTCCACCCAGGCCCCCAGCACCAGCTCCCACTCCCATCCCGTATCTCTCCCCCCTCCTCACTCACCAGGACAAGATTCCCTGCTCTGACGATGCCCAACACCCAGCGACCACACAGGCCAGCGTGCCCCCTCCACACAGGCCCTGCCGCCCCGGAGCCAGATGGCCGCCTGTCCACCCTCAAGCCTTCAAGAACCCGGATGCTATATCCTTTGATAGCCGGGCACCATCAGCTTTCTTCGCTACATTTGCTCATGCACCCATGTGTCCTCAGCAATCGCATCATGGAGGTGAGCACACAACGATACCATCCCTTGCTCTTTGATGCCTGAAGTCTTTAGGAGAGCTTCATCTTCCTCCCTTGGTGCAGCTGATGGATTTGAACCGCTGACCTTGCAGGTTAGTAGCCCACTGCTTAACCCACCACATCACCAGAGCTCATTCTGATATCACTGCACTTAAAACCACTGCGATTGAGTCTGACTCAGCCATCCTGTAAGACGGGGGAACGACTCCATAGGCTTTTGAAACTGCATAGGGTTTGCAACACTGGGAACATACTGTCATCTTCCTCTTACTAAGCTGCTGGGGCTTATGGGTTCAAACCCACTGATCTTTCCCTTGTCAGTTTAACCCACCAGAGCCCCTTCAGGCACCTCCACAACCAAACTCAGTGCCATCCGGTCGATATAGGACAGGGTTGAACTGCCTCTGTTGAGTTTCCAAGGCTGTAACTTTCTCTTGAGGAGCAAGTGACAGTTTTGAACTGCTCACCTTGCAATTAGCAGCCCAACTCGTAACCACTACACCACCAGCACCCGGCAGGCACCTCCAGTAATCATAAACCCCTAAGAATTGCCCCAAGTCAGTCTGTGGCTCACTCAGACCAGCATTTGGCAACACTGTCCCTGAGCCCTACTTGGGAAGTTCCTGGAGAGTGAGATCGTGGTCTTTGAAGCCATCTTCTCCTTTATTGGTCTTTTTGTCCCATCTGGTGTGGTTAATGGTGAGACTGGGTATTTGCATGTAACACCTCTGCAGAGGAGGGGTGGGAGCGACATACAAAACATTTCCTCTGATGGACCCACTACTATCCAGTCAATTAGAACTCATGGCGACCCTATAGAGCAGCGCTTCTCAACCTGTGGGTCGCGACCCCTTGGTCACCTGATTCATAACAGTAGCAAAATGACAGATGAAGTAGCAACAAAAATAATTTTATCGTTGGGGGCCACCACGACATGAGGAACTGTATTAAAGGGTCGCAATGTTAGGAAGGTTGAGAACCACTGCTATATAGGGTTTCTGAGGCTATAAATCTTTACAGGAACAGAAAACCTCATCTTTCTCCCAAGGAGCACCTGGTAGGTTGAATCACCTACCTTGTGGATGGCAGCCCAGCATGCACTCCATGATACTCCCAGGGCTCTTTCCTCTGACCGAGAAGCGGTTCTGCCTAAGGGTTGCAGGAGCCTGGGCATTCCAATCAATATGCGCTGTTGCATCTGCAAAAGCCAGAGTGTGGCGGGAGGCATTTACTGCTGCATCACACCACTCCCGGGCCCCGCCCTTAGCCGCCCAGTGTCAGCCTTACACACAATTGCTTGTGATAAATGAACACCTGTAGAAAATTAAGTTTCCAAACATGATTGTAAACTTCCTTCGACAGTAGATTTTATTACTCATGGATACTGTTGGTGGTTAGGTCTGAGCTCAATGAGTTTCTAATTTTGTGATCTATGTGGGGCCAGACCTTGGGAGTACTCAGTGGGGCGGTGGGAGGGAGGGGTGGTTCTGGGTTCTGACTGAACATGACCCCATGTGTGCAGAACAGGGTGCTATCTGCCTTAAGTTGATCCGAACTCTTAGGGATGCGATAGAACAGAGAAGAACTTCTCCCACAGAGTGCCCCGTGCTGTAATCTGTACTGGTTGCCGGGTCTCTCCTCTCCACAGAGGAGCTGGTGAGTTCTAACAGCTGACCTTTCTGCTAGTGGCTGAGCATGTACCCACTGCACCACGAGGATAGGCTGTTCAGAGTGCTGCGGTATAGGAAAAAAGTTTTCACCAAATCCAATTCACCCAAAGTGATATCAAGAGTGACTAGCCAGCAAGCAGATGAAGAAATGCTCTTAATAACTAGCAGAAGAGAAATGCACGTTCTGAAATTGATTGTGGCGGTGATTGCACAAGTCTTGTTAATACGACTGAATGATTCAATTGTGTGGTACATGAGTTTATATGCCAATACTACTTTTTAAAAAAGAAATGCAAACTGATGAGCTACCACCGTCTCCTGACAGTGATAGCAGAATTCAAAAGGAAGCCATAAGTGACAAGTGCCAGAGATGACGTGGAGAGATTGGGACCCTCAGACACTGCTGGTGGGACTGCATGACAGTGCACCCACTGTGGAAAGCAGGGTGGCGCTTCCCCAAACAAACGTGAGTAGAAATACCACATGGCTCCGAATGTCTCTCCTCGATAACACACCGCAAAGAAAGAAAGAACCAAACACGGACAGAGGTTTTACCAAAACGCTGTACACAACAGCAAAGATTCAAACGGTCAAAATGCCTGTCTGTGGAGGGATAGGTCTAAACTCTGGTACTTACATGGGAATTCTGCACTTCCCTAAAACCAGTGATGAAAGTACCAAACACCTCATAGCATGTACGAATTTGGAAGATATTCTGTTTAGTAAGGTTAGACAACCTCATAAAGACAAATATTGTGTGGGATCACTGATAAAAGAAAAAATTGAGAAAACATGCTCATGCCAAAAGAAGTGGATTTTGGTCAAATACCACATGCAAAAGTTCCAGATAGCTGGTTATGCTGCATCAGGCCACCTGACAACTCACCTGCCCATCTCTCTAGCTGCTTTTGTTCTCCTTTCTGTTTGTCTATCCTTTCCACTGAAAATCAGGGTTCTAGAGTTACCATCTATCTGTATCTTTTGCATTTGGTCTCTTGTGCCCTTGTTGCAGGGTCTGTGTAGCATATCCGCCTAGTTGACTATCTTTGGTTCTTAACCTTTGTCACCTGCTATAACCTGAACACATTTTTAAGCTATTCCTGCCTTACATTGCTGAGGACCCTTAGTGGCTCCATAGTTGAAGCGCTCAACACCAACCAAAAGGTTGGCACTTAGAACTCACCAGCTGCTCTGTGGGAGAAAGATGTGACCATCTCTATCCACGGATATATTACCCCATATGCTGGAATAAGATATAGATATGATTTAGGCAAACCTGTGATCCAGGCATATTCAGTGAATGTTGTAAGATTTCTGAGATAGTTAAGGTTTATTGTGCCAACCTGGCCCATAAACACATGTGGGATTAATTGAAGGGTGGAGAAAGAAATGGCCCCGTGAGCCTTGCCTTTTTAGTTCTCAGGTCTCTTGCTCTCTGATGGTTGGACCAGGGTGCAGCTGCCTTAGCCAGTTCCCTGCTTCAGCTAGCAAAGCTCACTTCCTGCAAGACATCCCTCAGGAGAAGCCACATGGACCTACCCCAATGCAGCCCTGGGTGTGAGAGCAGCCTTGTAGAGACCCCTGCCAGTGCTGAGATGCTTACACGTTCACTGATTTGGTTTTCCTCCTGCAGTCAGCATCATTGTGTGTGTTTTGTGAGATTGAGGAGGACTTTGTAGATTGGTGTCGGACATATGGGCT